TTATGCTAATTTTCCATAGTCTTGTTCAGAAAATAGGGAGTGTTTCCTAACTCGTTCTATCAGTGACAAATATCAAAACCAGATAACAAGTGTTATAGGAATAGGAAGATTGGACAACTGAACATAGATACAAAAATTCTTGACCAGATAATCAGTAGTCAAATCCAACAAAGTGATATCTTGTGCCCGAGTGGGATTTGTCCCAGGTATGCATTTCTGTCATAAAAAAAAAAAAATTAAACGTGTGGACTGCTTTTGTGGAGCAGCAAGGTTGAGCCACCACCTGTGATGCAAACATCCTATGTGAGCGCTGATTCAAGTCCCGGTTCCTTTACTTCCCACTCAGTTCCTTGTTAATGCACTGAGAAAACAATAGAAAATGGTTCAAATCCTTGGACACCTGTTCTGTGGAAGACCTGAATGGAATCCAGAACTCCTAACATTGACCTGGCCCGGCCCCAGCCACTGTGGCAATTTGGAAAGTGAATCAGTTGATGGAAGAACACCCTTCTCTCTTTCCCTCTCCTTCTCTGTCTCCTTCTGTCTCTGTAATTCTGCCTTTTAATTAAAATATCTTAAAAATTAAAAGCATGACCAAGCATATAAAATCACATAATCATATTAATACAGAAAAAGGCATGTGACAAAATCCAATGACCATTCACAATGGAAACTCCCAGTAAACCAGGAATAGAGGGAAACACTATCAATAAAGACCATCCACGAAATTCTACAGCTAACAATTATACTTAGTAGTGAGAACTGGCAATTTTCCCACTAAGATCAAGAGCAAAGCAAGATGTCTCTCCTCACCATTGTGTACTGGAAGAACTCATTAGTATAAAGAGATAAGAGGAAGAAATAAAAGAGGTACAGAATCAGAAGAAATAAAAATTGTTTTTGTTTGCAAATGGCATGACCATCTATGTATAGATTTTTTAAAATCAATGGCAAAATAAAGCGCTCTTGAAACTAACAAAAAAAAATTATAGCAAAGCTTCAGGATACAAGGTGGGTATATGAAAATCAATTCCTTACATGCTTGTTCTCATAGAACAAGTGGAATTTGACATTTGAAACAGAATACCCTTTACATTTTCACCCCCCAAAATGAAAATACTTTGGCATAAATTCAACAAAATATGTACAAAGTATATTTGAAGAAAACTACAGAACTATGATGAAATAAATCAAAGCACTAAATGAGAAATATTTCATATTTTTTATAAAAGACCTCAATAATGACAGTTTATCAATTCAACTGCAGCCAAAATCCCAGATATTTACATGTATTTTTCATATATTAACAAGCTAATTCTAAAATGTACACAAAGAGGCAAACAAATGGGATTGTTAAAACAATATTGAAGGGGAAAACTTCGGAGTTGGAAGAGTGGAAATAATCAATTTTAAAACTTACTGTGATCAAGGCAGTGTCATCAATGGATTATAATAAAGAGCCCAGAAATAGATTCACAGCAATATATTCACCTGATCTTTGACAAAGGAGTAAGAGAATGCAATTGAAAAAAAGTCTTTTCAACAAATGTGATAACTGGACATCCATATGCACAGACTTAGACATCAATTCTTAACAAAAACAGGATTTCCATGTTAATTTTGGCTCACGTTTTTTGTTTCTCCTTCCTCTACTTGCTATGTCTTGATATCTGTATGTGTCAGAAAGGTAGGCTTGTTATTATGAAATGTGTACTACAGTAATAATTTCAGAAAAAATAATAAGGTGGAGTGAGAAAAGGAGCAGCAAAATGGAGAAAGGAATGCCTATGCTTCTAAACCTGTATTGTGAAAATGTAAATCTACTCATTTTGTATAAATTAGAGACAAGAATAAAAATAAGTAATAGAATAAAGTTTACCAAAAAATAAACTCAATGTGTATTATAGACCTAATTATAAAATGAAATGTCATATAATTAACATAAGGATAAAGTGTAAATCATCACAGGTTTGATGATGGCTTTTTTAAGATTTTTATTTTATCTATTTATTTATTTACTTACATATTTGAATGGCAGAGTTACAGAAAGAGGAGACAGGAGGGAAGGAGGAATTGAGAGAGAGGGGGAGAAAGAATTAGAGAGAAAGAATCTTGCATCTGCTGATTCACTCCCCCAAATGGCTGCAACAGCCCAGGCTGGGGCAGGCTGAAGCCAGGAGTCTGGAACTTCTTCCAAGTCTGCTGTATGGATTCAGGGACACAAGTACTACTTTCCCAGGCACATTAGTAGGGATCTGGATGGGAAGGGTGTAGCTGGGACTCAAACTAGTGCCCATATGAGATGCCAGTGCCACAGACTGAGGCTTAGCATACTAAACTACAGTGCCAACCCAATGATAGTTTTTAAATTCAACACCAAAGGAGCAATCAATGAAAGAAAGAACTGATCAACCAAATGAGCAACAACTATTTAAAAACAGGTAAAAATGTCAATTGATACACTTCACTAAAAAAGATGAAATTCAGATGTCTTGAGTTTCATTGTCACAGATCATTAGGCAATTGCAAAGTAAAGCAACAGTGAAATATCACTACATACCTATGAGAACGACAAAATCCAACACATGGACAACGTGAATTGCTAATACGGATACAGAGCAGCAAAATATTCATTCATTACTAATAGGAGTATAAATAGCACAACTAATTTGGAGAACAGTTTCTTACAAAACTGAACTTACTTTCATCATATAACCCAGCAATTATACTACTTGGTATTTACCCAAGTAGGTTCATCAGATTAAGCTGCCACTTGCAATTCCAGCATCCCATACAGGAGAACCAGTTTAGGTCCCGGCTGCTCTGCTTTGAGTCAGCTCCCTGCCAATTAGACAGAAAAAGCAGTGTATGTTGACCAAAGTACCAGCGTCCTTGCTACCCACATGAGAGGCTTGAGGAATGTCCAGACCTCTGGCGTCAGCTTGGCCCACACCTGGCTGTCTGGCCCTGTGGAGAGTGAACCAATGGATGGAAGGGTCTCTCTCTGTTTCTGTAATTCCTCTCAGTAATTCTCTGTCAGTAACCCTGCCTTTCAAATAAATAAAATAAATATTTTCTCAAAAAAAAAAACTAATGTCCATCCAAAATAAATAGACATAAACATTTCCAGCAGTTTTATTTGCAATTGCTCAAACCTGGAAGAAGCCAAGCCAGCTGTCACTCAGTGGGTGCAGTCACACATATAATGACAGCTCATTTAAGGAACACTCATAAGATTTTTATCTCCTAGTGACATTTTAGCTTCCTTGGTTGCATGAATGTACTCTGTGATCTTAGCACGGTGATGACATTGGCTGACGGTGTAGCTCTCAGAGTGCTTCCCTGTCATTAAGTGATTCATGACTGTGAAGTACTTCTAGACAATTAAATGTTTTTCAGTAGTAAAGATACATGAGTTCTCAAGTCAAGAAGAGACAGAGAAACCTCACATGCACATTACTAAGTGAAGGAAGCCAAGCTGAAAGGCTGTGTACTGTAGGATCCCAACTGCACTGCACTCCGCAAAAGGAAGACCCTGAAGACAGTCACTCCTCAGTTGCTGATCGCCAGAAAAGATAAGAACAAGAGGTGGGAAAAGAGGGGTTTTTTAGGGCAATAAAAATACTGTAGGATTCCACAATGATGGATATAAATCATTGTATCTTTTTCAAACACCAGTATACAATATACATCATCAAGAGTGAACCCTGATTTAGAGGCTTCAAGTGTATGCTCATCAATTCTAACAAGTATGGGACCTGGATAATGAACAGAGGCAAGCTGCACAAGGCTAGGAACAAGGGGCTATGGAAAATCTCTGCTTTATGCACACTTTTGCTGTCAACCTAAAACTGTTTCTAAAAAGTGAAGTCTGGTGTTTTACTACTTTATTATTTTTTTAATTTTGAATTTTATGGTACAATTCCATAGGGTCTGGGATTTCCCTACACCCTCCTCAAATTCCCACCCTCTGGCTGATCAAAATCTATCTTTTTAAGATTTATTTATTTTTATTGGAAAGACAGATATACAGAGAGGAGGTAAGACAGAGAGGAAGATCTTCCATCCATTAATTCACACTGAGATTCCACCTAACTCCAGTGAGAATGACTGACATGAAATAAATCAACAAACAGCAACTGTTGGTGAGGATTTGGGGGAAAAGCTATCCTACTCCACTGTTGGTGGGAGTATAGACAAGTGCAGCCAATATGGAAGTCATTATGGAGAGTTTGGGAGAGCAACCTGCAAGCTTGTATTTATAGCAGTACAATTTACAAAAGCAAAAACTTGGAAACAACCCAGATGTTCATCAACAGATGAATGGATAAAGAAACAATAGTATATTTACTCTGTGAAATACTACTGAGCCATAAAAAAGAATGGAATCCTACTGTTGGCAACAAAGTGCTCCCAACTGGAGCCCATCGTGCTTAGCGGAATAAACCCGTCCCAAAAGGACAAACACCATGTGTTCTCTATGATATGACAGCTTTTTACACAAATTACAAAACAAACATATAGGTATTCAAGTAGATAAATGCACTGTCACAGATGAACCACGTAACAGAGATCAGCTCAAGGAGTTATGTTGTGATCCACATCTCTACTCCTGAATAAAAGCACGATTCCCATTTTGAAGTGTGTAAATATACAGCATGATACTAAATTTTCTACCTATATCATGTCACAATAAACTTCAGTAGCAGAAAGTGGACCTTGTAATGATTACTAAAGGACTACGCTACTGGATAATTAGGGAAATAATAGTAGGGTGTGGGGAGTCGGGTATGAGGAGGAAGGAAGAGTAGGGAAGGGAAGAACTCCTATACTTACAAAACCATAAAAAAGAAATAGTATTTTTAAAAGAATTGAATAAAATTTGTGACCCTGCAATCCTTAACAAAAAACTGCTTCTTCTTCTAATTCAGCTGGTGTAAGTTATTACTTTTCTGTAACTTCATGCACTCGTAGTTTCCCACTTCTTTTCCCCCATAAAGGGCTGCTGGCTCCTCACCAAGTCTCTGTGAGCCCCGAGGGCACGGACAGCATCCTGGTGACTTGGCAGCCTCCCAAGAAAGCTGCCCCTGCGGTTCTGGAGTATGTGGTGGATTGGAAGGAGCTCCTTCCGGGAGGCAGCACACAGCCCCCTCTGAACTGGCTGCGGCTCCCGCCCTACCGTGTGTCTGCTGTGCTGTCAGGTACCTTCTGGAGGGATCCTCGGTTCACATTTGTTTGGAGAAATTGCAGGCCACAACCTATAATTTTTGCTTCCAGTTAGAGGTGACTGCATGAAAAGGGACACATGTGATGCCCTTGGCCTTTCAAGGCAGTGCCTGAGTGTCCCATTGCCGCTGAAGAACAACAAGATGTCTGCAAAGACTGGTTTTTCTGGGAAATACCCACTAAGAGCATAGTGCCAAATAAGGTGAAGGGTAATTGGACCAAATACGTATGACTGAGAAATCAGTTAGCTGATCAGTGTGATAGGCACCTTCACTGGGAGGAACGTATGCAGCTCTCAGAAGAATCCCATGCTCTAAGAGTCATTGTGTCCATCATGCAGAGGAGGAAACTGGGACGCCTAGTAACTAATGCAATTGTAAACACTTATTATAAACTGTATCAGGCTTACCCCCTATAGGATAGTTTATACTACATATGGTTCCTTATGATTCCTGTAATTCTATACAAAAACCACAGGAGAGTGGACAAGAGGGAGTATTTTCCACACTTGGTAAAATAAAATGTAAGTACTTGAGAAATGCTCATTTGAATAAAATCAATATACTAATGAGAAAATAACTTTATTAATTAAAATTGTTCTCCTGCTTGAAAGCACTTGGGTAGCCATTAGTTTATGTTGATTTTACATTCTGGAAATAAATACTTAGATAACTTAGTAATTCATACTTAAAATGGACTAAAAATGGCTCTTTCCAGTCACTAAGATCATGCAATGCAATTGGAAAGGCTTGAGCTCTCCCCAACTGGAGCTGGAGCTGATTTGGGTGTCTGGGAGGAGGCCAGACTGTAACCTGACTGCTAGATTGTAGCTTTGTGAGGCCTACAAGTCCCGCCATGTCCCAGTGAAAGTGCTCTTACTGGGAAAGGCCACTCCTTTCACAAACACATAAGATCCTGGTGTCTAGGAAGCCTCCCTTGATGCCTACACTAGTATGGCCCTTCATGTGCACATTGCCACTTTCATGACTTCTAAATTTGCTCCTCATTATTGATCACATAATGTTTGCCTTCTTCTACCCTTGACAAGTGAAATCAGCCTTATGCAGAAAAAACACCTGAGAGAAGGTTTAGAAACACTGAGACAGGGCCTTTGTCCAACAGTGCCAGGTGGGTATGTACGTGTTGGGAGTAGTGGACAATGAATCAGAAACTGGCGGCAGACTGCAGAGAAGAGATGATTGCTTTAGGACCGTGGGCTTCATCCATTGAAGGTTTCTTTGGCTTGGGATAAATCTAGAAATTTTTTCATACAAGAATCAACCAGTTGGGGCCCGGCGCGATGGCACAAGTGGTTAAAGTCCTCGCCTTGCACGCCCGGGATCCCATATGGGCACCGGTTCTAATCCCGGCGGCCCCGCTTCCCATCCAGCTCCCTGCCTGTGGCCCGGGAAAGCAGTCGAGGACAGCCCAAAGCTTTGGGACCCTGCTCCCGCGTGGGAGACCTGGAAGAAGTTCCTGGATCCTGGCTTCAGATCAGCATAGCATTGGCCATTGCGCTCACTTGGGGAGTGAATCATCGGACGGAGGATCTTCCTCTCTGTCTCTCCTCTCTGTATATCCGCCTTTCCAATAAAAATAAAAATAAATCTTAAAAAAAAAAAAAAGAATCAACCAGTTAAACAGGAATCCTAGTGGTCAGAACCAGGGAACAAGCTTACTGGGAAGGCTCCTCTGGGTTGAAATGGAAATGCCTGCTGAGTTTTGGAGCCAGGTAGTTTTCCAGATCAAACCATTCCCAAGATCAAACCTAGCCCCTGGGATTCAGCAGTCCTCAATGCCCCCTGCCCTGAACCACGTTTTGCATGGCAAAAAGCAATGGAACCATTAGCAGGCTCTAGGAGTACCATGAGTGGCCCCTTCTTTAGCTAAAGGCAGAACAAACAGACCCTGGGAGCAAAAAGTCACATAGCAGACCCTCCCAAATGAAACATGACTCTATACTCTGTGTTACCCTTTGGGCTTCTGTGTCTGGATGATACCCAAGAAGAATTTTTGGATTGTGGAACTAAGCTCACTGTGTCCTTTCTCCATTTCACCGGGTTCATGAACTTGAATTGGAACACACCCATGGCATGTGTTTTGATCTTGTTCTTATTTCACGGCACTGGTGGAATGACTGGGCTTCATGTGCTACCTATTTTCTAGAATATGTAAGGGATGATGGATTTTCATCTGAAGTATACATCTTAAGTAAAACATCCTGTGCTAGAAAATTGCCCTTCCCTCAAAAGGAAGCTACAAAGTCCTAATCAACTGTCAGCGTGGGGAATCCGAGCTGTCTATTAGTAAGGCATCAAATAGCATGGGGCAGACTCCTTACTTTGGCCAACTCTTATTATAGTTACCAATTAGGTAACTCCCTCTCTTTTTCCTTCGAAGTATTAGGATGTAAAGATGTGTCAAAGGCAATATGTATGAGAGGGTCCTTTGCTTCACAGATGACAGAAATTGAACTCAAGGAAATGAGGAGCTTGGGCTTGAAAGACTTGCCAGTAAGCAAACAAAAATTATAAAGTGCATTTTGAAAACTAGAAAGGAGATTAACATACCTGGGCACCTTCCAAATCTCTCAGGCCGGGAAGCAACTGAGATCTCACTGAAATGTGGTCCGGGAGGGATTAGGAAGGAAGCAGGGATCAGATTGCATCAGAGAGCACCCAGGTTAGTCACACCCGCCACCATACTGCTGGGTCGGATCCCGATAAGCATCATGGAAAGTCATCCGGGTGCTGTGTCTGCAAAACTGCAGCCTCACTCTTTCGTAAACAGTCCAAAGACTGACTTGTAAAAGTCAAATTCTTTTCTGGAAGGTGAACATTTGAGTGACCCTGTTCACTTACATGGGAAGAAACTCAGTCTGGTCGGTTTATCTCATGTGTAGGAGTTGGAAGCAGTGGTTTCCTAAAGTCTGTGTTTGGCAAATAGAAAGCTCGGCATTTGTTCCTTTCCTTTTAGTCCAGCCCGTGCTTAAGCCATCTTCGCCCTAAGAAAAAAGCCAGAAACTCCTAGGCTGTAGATATTAAGATGACTCTTGTTAGTGTCTCACTGGCGATGGCAGGCTTGTAAAAACTTGCCCTTTCCTTGCAGAGAATATCCAACCCTACATGTGTTATAAAATCCGTGTGCATGCACTGTCAGCGGGGCAGGTGGGATGCAGCTCCATCCTGGGAAATTCCAAGCATAAAGGTGAGGCATGGACCCTTTGCCAACTGTTGCTTTAGGAGAACAATTTGGATTTGGCAAGTGACAGAAGCCTGCTTTGTTCTATTTTGCAGCACCGCTGAGGGGCCCTCACATCAACAGCATCACAGAGGATAAGGGCAGGGTTTTGATTTCCTGGGACCACCTTCCAGCCAAGGAGCAAAGGGGCTGTGTTCTCCATTACAGGATACACTGGAAAGAGCGGGACTCCAATTCCCAACATCAGTTCTGTGGTATGTATGACAACCAGGTGCAGTGGGGACTTTTGTCTCTCGACATCAGGAAAACACAAACGTGTGTAAGCTAAGACTCCACAAGTACGAGAATTTCTGAAGGAAAAACAGAGACAGTAGAACCCCACACACATGCAAAACTACATGACACATAAATGGCTAAGAATACAGAAATGGAACCCAGTGCAGTGATTCAGCGGCTGAATCCTTGCCTTACATGCATTGGATCCCATATGGGTGCCAGTTCTTCTCCCAGCTGCTTCACTTCCCTTCCAGCTCCCTGCTTGTGGACTGGGAAAGCAGTGGAGAATGGCCCAAAGCCTTGGGACCCTGCACTCACATGGTAGACCTGGAGGAGGTTCTTGGTTCCTAGCTTCAGATCAGCTCAGCTCTGGCCATTGTGTCCCCATGGGGAATGGCCAAACAACATAAGATCTTTCTCTTTGCCTCTCCTTCTCTCTGTAAATCTTCCTTTCCAATAAAAATAAAATAAATCTTTAAAAAGAGAGAGAGAGATTACAGATATGAAGGAAACCAAAAGGCTCTGCAGCGGTGACTCGCACACATAGGCAGTAATTCACTAAGCAATGAAGGCATTGGAGTGCCCCTGTGTAGACACTTGAGAGACACAAGGAATGCATTTGGGGAATTTTTAAATCTCCAAATTGGCAATTACCATAAGTATATATTCAGTTATTCTTAAAGTGAATAAAATAGTATATAAAATAAGTATGTCTTTATGAACCATAATTATTCTTTAACTATAAGGCTAAAGCAATTAAAATAAATTCTGGCTTTAGCATTATGAATTTTATGAATCACTCATTCATGCAGCCATTCCAAATCACTTGCTGGATTTGATGTTCTAATCTTTGATCTAATCTAACCCCCACCCCTGGGAGGTGGTTTGGCCTGCTTTTTATTTTGTAAACAGCTGGCTTTCCTTTGGAAGCAGTTATTAAAAGGCATAATATACTTGGGGTCTTTTTTTGTATTCGAACATCTATATTTTGCTTTTCTCTCTCAATAATATGTACAGGAAATCTCACATCAGTTCATGTGGCTTTTCCTCTGATTCCATAGTACTTCACCATAACGCTTTAAAAACATTAGTTTCACTAATCTACCACTGATTTTTTTTAAAAGGTTTCTTTATTTGAAAAATGCAAGTGACAGAAAGTGGGGGAGTGGAGGTCTTCCATCTACTAATTTACTCCCAAATGCTTAGAACAGCGAGGGCTGGGACAGTCTGAAAGCAGGATCCAGAGACTCTATCTGAGTCTCTTACATAGGTGGCAGAGATGCAAATTCTTGAGCCTTCATTGGCTGTCTTCTCAGCTACATAAGCAGGAAACTGGATTGGTAGCTGCAGTAGCCAGGACTCCAACTGGAACTCCAGTATGAGATGTAGGCATCCCACTGTGTCACAATGCTACCACCACCCTATTGATTAAACAGGCTTCACACCAACAAATTTCTCATTGTACCTGTTGGGCCAAGTCAGCCTCTTCATGGACTGTCAGGAATTACTCAAATGAATTTTTCCCCTCAAAATATTGGGTTAAACTGAAATGCCTGCTTACCACCAGACTGATTTAAACTGAAATGCCTGCTTACCACCAGACTGATTTAAACTGAAATGCCTGCTTAGCACCAGATATGATCAGTTGGATCTTGAAGGTGCACTTGAAGATGTGGAAAATGCCTGCCACAAATCTGATGATTCTGAAACCTTTGAAAGAATATTTTCAAATAAGATAAAACGGGAAAGAAATACAGATTCACAGTATTTCATACCAGTTTAGATTAAATTTCTTTTTAACTCAGTGAGCACTTATTGATGAATAACACCCGTTTCTTCAGAGAGTTTACAATCTACTGAGAAAGATTTTAAAAGCTACATAAAAGAGATGTACCTGCTACAGTGAAGGACTGCCAATTACCTGTTGTGTCTGGCAACCAACAATCATTGGTAAATTCGCAAGGGCAGTTTCTTGAAAGATTTAGGAAGTGACAGGTTGAGGAAGAGGGAGAAAATAGGCATCACATAGTAAAATGATGATGGTGACTTGGAGAAGAAAGAGCCCTGTTTTACTTGTATTTTGGGACAGTTGACCAGCCAAAAGTACTAAGAACACACAGAGAGTGTAGCAGGAGCAAAAATCAAAAGACATCTCATGCTGCCTGTGGGGAAAGGAGAGGTTGAAGAACTGAAGTAGGCCAAGGAATCTGCATTCCAGAAAGTTCAATTAGTGCCCTGATGGTATTTTTCTTCTCCAGAAGACTTGCGGGTCAGTAGCCTTTAGCAAATAGGCTACCTTGGCCTCCAAGGTTTTGCAGCGACTTCTCCAAAGGAAGACTGTGAGGTCAAGGACAGCGTTTCTGCAGAAATGGACTACCTGCTCAGATGACTGGCAGCTGTCCAACAGCTGGGGGCCCGAATGCTCTGGTACACAGCTACTCCTCTGGAAGTTTGTTGATATTGCCACATGCACTGATGGACCGAGAGCATGAGTGTTTCTCTACCCAACGCGCATACATCGTGTGTTGTTACTTCCTAATGCTATTTACCAATAGCCCTGAGTCATCACAAGGGTAGAACCCAGAGCAATTTGCTCACCAATGTCTCCCATCTACCAAGAACTCAGCCAGGCCCTTAATGCCAGTATTTAATAAAATGCATGTGCTGATTAAGAAGTGGATGAATACTGTTCTCCTTTTTGTTGAAACCAATGGAGATAATTGGGTAAATAGTGTATTTCCAGTAACAATGCAGTTATTTTGCCTGGTTGCTTGACCTTGCTGCCCAGAGCCTGTTTGATGATTAGACTAATACAGCTTCCTAAGCAGGTGCCTTTATCATTTAGCCATCCAGAGTCTAAAATTTCAGCGCCAAGGCCTGAATGCCTTGTTCTATCTCTGCCGAGATCACAGCTGAGGGAGGTGGGACCGGTATTTCCTGCTTGACTTCTTGACTTGTTTCTCCTGTTATGCAACTCTGCCTGTTTTGCCAAACAAACTGCTGACACCATCATGATCCTCTCTGCTCCCCCATAGAGTTTCTATTTTTGTTCTTCCAATACACGTGTATGAATAAACCTTATCAGCCCGGCAGACCATACAGATCCTTTGCCTTCTGTTCCATCGCCTCATTCCACTCTCAGAGCTAAGAATACCTTCACACAGTTACATGGTTCACTCTGTTGCTTGCTGATGTTTTGCTGCAGCAAGAAGAGCAGAAGCTCTCTCTAAAATTAATGCTTTAATCCCCAGCCTTAGAAATAGGGAAAGATTTTTTTGTGTGTGCACCCAGCCGTACAGCTTAAGTCACTGAAGTGATTTCACCAGGCTAGAGTGACTGGGAAATTTTCCACAAGGTACTTTTCCCAACAGGATGTGAAATAGAGAAATTTTTCTGATAGTTACAGTTGCAAAACTATCTGCTTAGGCTTCAGGCCTTTTCCAAAAGGCCTGGAACTGAGGTGTTATTATAGGGCTCTATCTCACCAGTTGCCAATAGCAGGAGGACAGGATAGCTTCAGGGATCAGCTTTCCTATTAAATGGTGAACCTTTTGAGCTAGGTTCTGTGCTTTGGGTTGTTAGTGCCTCTGTCTGCATTGGCAGTCGTTAAATATTTGTGGCTACAGAAATAGATGGAGCAGGCAGACACTATCTAACCTCTCTGGGTTGATGGGCCAGCATGTGAAACGCCAAGTCCTAGTGTTCACTCTCTGATGACCTATGCAGGTGCCGATCATCCAGATGAACAGGCAGGCCAGCTCTGCAGAAGTTCTGTCCTTTACCTAATCATCTTCCTCAGCTTACTCCGACATCCTGGAAGACAAGATTGCCTGTTGACTAAAGGCTAGTGGCACCCATGGTTCTTAGAGAAGAAAAACAGTGTATTGCTCAAAAAACAAAATCTACCATGCAGAGAGGAAAACCACACGGGTGTCGAGAACATAGGAACTGAAAATCCAGGCCTTAGGCTGCCAAAACTAAGACAACCTGGATACAGCGGATGAAAGATCCATTCTCTCTCTCTTTATCTCCATAAATCTGACTTTCCAATAAAAATAAATGAATCTAAAAAAAGAAAAGAAAGAAATATCTCCTGTCCTCTTGTTCACCCTCCAAATGACTGTAACAGCCAGAGCTGAGCCAATCCAAAGCCAGGAGCCAGGAGTTCCTAAGTCTCCTACATTGGTACAGGGACCCAAGACTTTGGGCCGTCCTCTGCTGCTTTCCCAGGCCACAGGGAGGGAGAATGATGGAAAGTGGAACAGCTAAGACACAAGCACCCACCCATATAGTATGCTGGTGCTTGGCGGTGGAGGATTAACCAGTTGAGCCATTGCATTGACCTCAAAAATTATTTTTCACATTTAATTTCCTCCTCAAGAATTCTGAAATATACCTGATAAATACCAGGAACACTGTAGGTATAGGAGATAAAAAGGTTTTCTGCAGGTAAGTCATTACAAAAGCAAAAATGATGATATATTCCAAGAGACTTTGTCACCAAAAAAATACTGATTTTTCTGATACGCTGTGGAGTGTCTCCATAAATTACAGTGTCTAGGACCCATTAAATCACTCAGGCAAATTAGGACTATTTGAAAATAGCAATATATTTTTCCCTTTAAAGGAAAATGAAGTAGAGCTGTCATGATGGCATAGCAGTCCAGTCCTCCACTTGTAGTACCAGCATCCCATTTGGGCGTTGATTCATGTCACAGCTGCTCCACTTATGATCCACTCTCTGTTTATGGCCTGGAAAAGCAGCACAGGACGGCTCAGGTCCTTAAACTTGGAATAAAATCCTGGCTCCTGGCTTTGGATCGGCTCAGCTCTAGCCTTTGTGGTCATTTGGGAAGTGAAACAACAGATGGAGGCTCTCTCTCCCTGTTTCTCCTTCTCTCTGTAACTCTGCCTTTCAAACAAAAAATGAAATTTTTTTTAAAGATTTATTTTATTTTTATCACAAAGTCAGATACACAGAGATGAGATAATACAGAGAGAAAGATCTTCTGTCCAGTGATTCACTCCCCAGGTGACTGCAGTGGCCACAGCTGCGCTGATCCAAAGCCAGGAGCCTAGAACCTCCTCCAGGTCTCCCACGCGGGTACAGGAACCAAAAACTTTGGGCTGTCTTCGACTGCTTTCCCAGGCCACAAGCAGAGAGCTGGATGGGAGGCAGGTCTGCTGGAACTAGATCTGGCACTCATATGGGATCCCGGCACATTCAAGGTGAGGACTTTAACTGCTACACTACCAAGCCCATTACAAATAAAATAAATCTTTAAAAATGTAAATGAAGCATTGAAAATGAAAAATCAACACAAGTTCATAGTCCACCATTTCCTTTAATGCCTTTCTTTTTTTTTTCTGTAGAAATTCCCTATAAAGTCTCCCAGAATTCACATCCAATACACAGCCTACAGCCCCAAGTGAGGTATGTCCTGTGGATGACGGCTCTAACTGCAGCTGGTGAAAGTGCCCCAGGAAACGAGAGGGAATTCTGTCTGCCGGGTAAGAGACAGCTTTTAGGGAGTCCACTCCGGGTTCTTCTGGAGGCGTACACTCCCACAGTGGCTGCCATAGAGAGGATCGGATTTCCCTTACTTCACTGATTACTTTCTTGCTGCCACATCTCTTCCCTTGCTGTTTCCTCTAACGGGACCATTCTTCCTCTCCACTAGCTGCTTATAGATAGTGTCTGCTTTTTTTTTTTCTCCAAATCTCTGCAGAAATGTTTGCTCTTCCAGAAAGTCTCCCAAACACATCTCCATATCCCTTTGATAATTCACTGATATTGACATCTAATTAAAACTCTGCATCCAGTGAGTTGAAATTAATTCAACTTCTCTGTAGCCACCAGGCCTAGAGTGATACCCAGAGGATAACATAATTGTCTGCCAGCATCTGAGGGAACAGGTGTAGAATCTGCCACCTAGACTTGAAATCTAGAATGCTTGCATCCTATATGTAAAATAGAACAGTATTTGCATATCACCTGTACATATTCTCCCATAGACTTTAAATTGTCTCTGAATTATCTCTAATACCTAATACAGCATAAATGTTGTAATAATAGTTAATACATTGTTTAGAAAACAATGACAAAAATCTGTATTGGTTTGATACAGATGCAAATTTCTTAAAAGTATTTTCCGTTCATGGTTGGTTGATTCACAGATACAGAACCAATGGAAAAGGCAGGCTGATCATGCTTGCACACTAAATAGCTGTTCAAGAAATAATAAGAATCACGCTAAATAACAAAGGCAGTGATTGCATACTCTGTGAATTTGCTGGAACTGCTGTAATAAAGTTTCACAAATAATGATTTAACCAACAAGAATGTACTGTCTACCCTCTAGAAGTCCAAGGTCAGGGGATCACCAGGGTTAACTCCTTCTAAGACCACAAGACAGAGTCTGTTCCATGGCTGTCTCCTTGGCTGGTAGATTTCTGCCTGCATCTAGGAATTCTCTGTGTCCTGTTCTCCTCTTTATAAGGACACCAGTAACAATTGGGATGAGGGTCCATCCTACTCCAGCATCATCTCATCTCATGATTCTGTCTTCAAATAACATCACATTCTCAGATCTGGGGTTAGGACTTCAGCATAGGAATTTTGGGGACACACAATTCATCCCATCTCATATAGTGGTGCTAATGTGTTCATTATGTGATTGTGCTGGACCATACTACCAGACACCCAATTAGCAATGAATAAGAATGAGGGATTGTTATGCACTTTTACAAGTAAAAGAATTCAAATACAGAAATATTACTCGAGTGTAGAGATGGTGAGTGGGAGAACTGCAAATCAAAGGCAGACTTGATCTACTTGAATGATCTTACGTTTGAGTACATGAATAAGTGAGTGATCCAGCTAACAGGAATTTTCCTTCCCCGGCCAAGTTATTCTCTTCTCCCAGCAATGCTCTTTTGCATCTGTTTTCAGCTGAATCACTCTGTCCTTGCCTGGTGACACGTGCCTTGATCATTCTGGACCTTGTTGTTTGTCACTAGAAGCTATCCACTGGGAAAACTGACAAGTCCTCTTCTCTCCCCAGCAATCCCATGAAAGTTAACATATGAGCGATTGATGTGGATCGAAGAGTCAGTGTCTTTCAACTGGTGGGCTCCAGCCATGCCCCATCTTCCCAGGAGGAAAGACAGATGTTACAGAAATGTCAGAATCTGCCTAGCACATGGTGGAAGAAAGGCTGCCTGTTTTGACTAAGACCTCTTGAGTGCCTAGCAGAACTCTGCCTCTATTCCTCCTGGTCTTTCCCTCCCTCCTGGACCATCCTCTGCTGAGTCAGAAGAATCATTGTATAAGACCCTTGACGCTGACACTGCACCTTGTGCTGCTACTTAGCAGCAGCTTCCCAAGGACCTTCAAACTAGATGTCAAACTGCTTAGTTACAGGGTTGGCATGGTGGTATAACAGACTAATCCTCTGCCTACCAGTGCCAGAATCCCATGTGGGTACCAGTTTGTGTCCCGACTGCTCCACTTTCCATCCAGCTTCCTGCTTGTGGCCCTGAAAAACAGCAGAGGATGGACAAATTCCCCCTGTACCAATATGGGTGTCCCAGAAGAAGCTCTTGACTCTCAGCTTTGGACCAGCTCAGTTCTGATTTTTGCAGTCATTTGGGGAGTAAACCAGTAGATGAAAAACCTCTCTTTTTGTCTCGTCCTCTCTCTCTGTAACTCTCACTTTTCAAGTAAAATAAATAATTCTTAAAGAAAAAAAAAATGCTCAGGCAATGAGGACCTGCATGGTCCCATGTATCTAACTGCTTTTATCCTTTGCCCCAAGCTTATCATTAATAAGCTAGAGCAACACCAGAGTACCTGCAGTTTTCTGGAAGAGCTAAGCTGTTCCTCTCTTCTATGCTTTTGCATCATTCTCTTTCTCTGGTCTGCTCTTCCTTAATTTATACATTTAGCGGACTCCTTCCAATGTCGAACTTCTTTTCCTAGGTATTTTCTTTTTTTTTTTTTTTAAGAATTATTTATTTTTATTGGAAAGGTATATTTAGAGAGAGGAGAGACAGGGAGAAAGATCTTCTATCTGCCGGTTCACTTCCCAAATGGCTGCAATAGTCAAGCCAATAGTGGTCTTGGCTGGGCTAAGCCTCAGCACCATCAGTTTGCATGAGAAATGTGAGAAATATGACTGAGGCAGAACTGACCAAACCCAGTCCAGACCACCACTGGCCCAGTCCTCACACATACTAGTGGGTCCAGCAGCCTAGGTCAGAGCAACCCCGGCAGTCCCTACCAGGTCCACCCCCAACCCTAGTTTTTGCATGTTCAGGCACAAGCTGCCCCCTAACCCAGTCCATCCCATATATCTGACTCACACATACCAATGGGTGCTGTAGTTTAGCTCAGTGTACCCCACCCATAGACCCACCCCACAAATATGCTAATAGGTACTGCCACTTTGTCCAGTCTGGCCCCCAGCCCTGGCTTTCATGCTTACCAGTGAGAGTTGTAGCCCAGCAGGAGAGTATTCACAGTTTCCCTATCAGGCCCACTTCCAGCCCTAGGTCTTGCGCTGAAATTTGTGTGTGTCGGCAGGTGCTGAGGCTCAGCCTGACAAGGCCAGACCCCAGTCCTGGCACTCATTGGCAGGTACTGCAACCTAGTCCTGTATCCATCTGGCTCTCCGGTGTATGTTACAATTTGACACTGTCTGGCCCATGTGAACTAGTGGGTGTCTTGGCCTTTCTTGACCTGACCCACACCCATTCTGGCTCTTGCAAGTACCAGCAGGTGTTACAGCCTTACCTACCCAGGTCCCCATCCCACCCCCACCGCCAAACCCAGCCCACATGCATGCTTTTGGATGCTGCAGTCTTGACCAGCCAGATCCACTCCCAACCCACATGCATGCTGACAGGTGTTATAGCCTTGCCCAGCTAGATTTATCCACAGCCCTGACTCACACTCACCAGTGGGAGCTATAGCCTAGCAGGAGAGTCCCCAAAGTTTCCCTACCAGTCCAGTCCCCAGCTCTGGATCTCACATGTGCTGATGGTGCTTCAACCCAGTCTGGCATGGCCCACCTGCTGTCTCAGCTCTTGCTGACAGGTGTTGCAGCATAGACCAAGCAGGTATGGCTCACATCTTGTTCTGGCTCTCACATGTGCCATCAGATGCTATGTCCTTGCCAAGCTCAGCCTGCCACCAGACCTGGCTCACACACATGCCGATGAGTGCTGCCACCTGGCCTGGCCTGGTTTTTCCATAGCCCTGGCTATTATACTCACCAGCGGGAGCTATATCCTCGCAGGTGAATTCTACAAGTTTCCCTACCAGGCCCTCTGCCATCCCTAGATCATACATATGCTGGTAGGTGCAGCAGCCCTGCTTGGCATGGTCTGCCCTCATTCCTAGCCTTTGATATACCGGCAGGTGCTACAGCATGGCCAAGCCTGATCCCTCCCAGCCCCGGTTCCTATGAGTGTCAGGTAAGTTCCTGGCCAGCCTAGCCTCTTCCAGGCCCAGTTCCCATAGGTGTCAAGCAATTTCTGGATCCACCATGGCTCAACCTATCACCACCCCCAGCTCTACACACAAATTAGTGGGTGCTGTAATTCCATAAAGGCAAACTCACAAGTCCCCTACAGAATCTGACCCTAGACTGAGTTCTCTTGTATTCTTGTGGGTGTTATAGCACAGTCTAATGTGGGCCAACTCCTGCTCTAACACTTGTGAATTGGTACTCTGACCCAGCGCAGGTAGGCATGTCCGCAACCCCAGTTTTTGCATGTGCCAGCAGGCAGCGGGCAATGGAACTTAACATGGCCCAGGTCTCACACATAGGTGAGTGCCTTGGCCTAACCTGGACATGCCCTCCAATTTCCTTCATCTAAACCACTCTGCCTCAAAACCCTTGCCTACCTATAAGTGCAGCGGCCCAGTCTGTGGAATCCCTCAGAAGTATTCTTCCCTTGTCAAACATGCCCTCAGCTATTCCCACTCCAGTATGTCCCCAGACGCCCATCCCTGAGCAATGCAGTCCCCTGCCTAGAAGGCCAGAATGGCATGTCCCAGCCATCCTGGCATGGCCCACCTGCAGTCTCAGCTCTCACTGGCTGGTGTTGCAGCCTAAGCCAAGCAGGTGTGGCTCATACCTTGTTCTGGCTCTCGCATGTGCCAGCAGATGTTGTGTTCTTGCCATGTACGTGGGAAAGATAACTTAAAAAGATAGAAAAGGCAACTATGTTGGCATACTGGCATAGTTAACACAGATTTGGCATTAACCAGGTCCACAATGCCCGCCAGCTATCGACTGCTTTTCTCCCCGCAGTGTAGCACTTGCCTAGGTACAAAGCAACCTAGGTAGTTGCCTACAGCTAGGGTAAAAATGCCATCTTAACCTTCCTGATGAAAGGCCGACACTGACATTCTCATGTTATAGGTGAAGAGCCTGAGGTTCGCTGAGCACACACAGCAGCAGCAGGACTACCACTCGGGTTTCCCGGCTCACAGGCAGTCTTTTGTAACCATAGCCCCCTCTTCTCTGTCCTTGGGAGAAGGAGAACCAAAACAGGGCCGCACTTCCTTGCAGCATCATAGAACTTGTCCCCTTTGCCCCTAAATGAATGGACCAAGCTAATTGCTCTTCTTCCTGAGTAAACCATCACGAGCTGTGGGTGGAACCTGGAGGGTCACACTACAATATTTTGGAATGTTCATTGAAGATGACTCAGTCACACAATTTGCTCACTTTTCAGATAAATCCAATTGGAACATGTTTGTGGCACCAAGCATTTGCGTTGCTGTCATCATAATCGGCCTTTTCTCAGTGCGTTACTTCCGGCAAAAGTAAGTTGGTTACAAATAATAACTAGGAAGATACATTTTTTAATCAGGATGATAGCTGTTACTGATATGAGTCAGAGAAATGAACTCTCATGCATTGGTGGTGGCAGATTCAATTTATTAAATTAATAAAAACATGCCTTTTGACTTAATAGTTTCTAAGTAGAAATATATTCCAAGCATATCACAGATAAAGTATTTTGTGGAAAACATGTTCACTGAAATTGTGTTCCAAAAGGACAGTGTGAAATAGCAACCTAAATGTCCAGTGCTATGGGATTGGCTAAGTCATGATGAGTCTTAAATGGTAACATATGTGTGTGTAATAGATGACCGAAAAGGAAACGAAATTGTTCCAATATTTGCCATATTATAAAATAAATTTCAAAATAATATTTTGTTTCTTAAAAACAGTACATATACACCCATGTACATTTATACATATGTCTTAGCTAAAGAAATACACTCAGGCGAAAGGCATTGTAGCAGCTTCGTATTCACCAGTGACCTTGGCGCCTCATCCATGTTTTCTGACCCAGAGTTGCATTATTAGCTTCTGCGCCCAAGTTCAGCTTTCAGTCTTCTCTGCAGCAATAGGAAGAAAAAAGTTGTCTGTACTTTCATTATAAGCATCCTTCAAGAAGTCACAAATGACACTTTGGGTTACATCTCATGAGTCAGGACTTGGTGGGCCAGGAGAGATTTAACATTGTGGTCTTTTAGCAGAGTTGCCATTCTAGTAAAATGGAGTCCTCTTCTAAGAAAGAGGGAGAAATGAGTATTGGATGGCAATTAACACTCTTGCCTTAAGGATATATGCCAATATTAATGGTGGCTGTATTTGCAGATAGGATCGTAAGTGATTTTAATCCCTGCCAACTAGGTGGGAGGCCTGGGTGGAGTTCTGAGCTCTTGGCCTCAGCTTAGCTCAGCCCCAGCCATTTTGACCATTTAGAGAGTGAAGCAGCAAATGGAAGATTTATCTCTCTCTCTCTGTCTCCTTCTCTGTTTATAACTTTGCCTTTCAAATAAAGGAATACATCTTTTAAAATATAGCCAAGGGCCTAGCATGGTAACCTAGTAGCTTGAGGTTCTCATGTTGTGTGCTCTGGAATCCCAAATGGGTACCAGAATCCCGGTGGCCCTGTATCCCATCCAGCTCCCTGCCTGTGGCCTGCAAAAGCAGCTGAGGACAACCGAAGCCCTTGGGACTCTGTGGCCACATGGGAGATCCAGAGGAGGCTCCTAGTTCCTGGCTTCAGACTGGCACAGCTCCAGCCATTTTGACCACTTGGGGAGTGAATCAACAAATGGAATGTCTTCTTCTCTGTCCCTCCTCCTCTCTGTATATCTGACTTTCCAATGAAAATAAATAAATTATACATATATATACACATGTATCTTCAAAATACTTATCACAAATATTTATAAGAAAGATCTTAATGTCTTTTTCTTACCCCACATTGCCTCTGATTGCCACACACAGTCATGTTAACAGTTCAGGTATTTCACTGTAACACTTCTAGACTTTTTCGTGTTTGCTGTTCTATTCTGTGTGGCACTGCATAGCTCATATATTAAGGATTCAGTCAGTATTTATTGAGTGCATGTATGGCTGGGTAATGACAGATTGCTAAACATCATGTTGAACAAAGGCCAAAGCCAAGATTCCTTTCAGAAATCCCATTTCTACCTTCTCTCTTTCTCTCTCTCCCAACATGGACTTATTAAAGCTGGTATTGTGGCACAGTGGGTTGAGCCAGTAATTGTCCATCCTCTGATTCACTCCCCTGATGCCCACAATAGCTGGGACTAGGCCAGGCGAAAACCAGGAGCCAAGAACTCCATCTAATCCCACATGTATTCACTGTCCTGCATCAATGGACTTGGTGCACGGACTACTGGCTGATGGTCAATAGGTGAAGTTTATTAGTGGCATCAATTTTATAGACTGAGGGTCACATAGGATAAGACAGGAGGTATTTAGGAGCTTACATAGTTCCCATAAACCTGTCTTCAGAACCCATCAGTTGTTTCTACGCCCTTGTCTGAAAATATCTCTGTTTTGTATATTCAATTATTCCCATTCAAATTATATCCAATCAGTTGTTCTCATACAAATGATATTCAATCAATTGCCCTCCTACAAATCCTCCTTCTCTATTTTGTAAATGGGGCCTGAGGAATGTAACCAGGGAGAACATGCTCTTGGAAGGGCAAGAAATGGGGGAAGCAATTTTTTTATATTACACAAAGATGACTTCATCAGGGACCAGAGACCCTAATTGCCTATTTCCCCATCTGACTCCTCACATCCCCCCAGGAGAATGGACCCTAGCTGCTGTCAGGAATAGGGGCCAGCTCATGGGTATTTGAAACCCAAGTAGTTAGGCCATTTTTTGCTGCTTGCCAGAAACATTATAAGGTAGCTGGATTGAAACATGAGAATAGCCAAGACTTGAACTAGCACTCCCTTATGGGATGCCAACATCACAGGCTGCAGCATACCCTGTTGTATCCTAACACCTGACCATATATCCTGTCTCTTGTTCATCAACCCAAACTCGCTGAAAACTACCCCAACCTTAAAGGACACATCACCTTTGTCTTTCAGTGTTTGTATTTTACTCATTTGTATACAACCCCTACATTAAAATTGCTGCACTAACTTTCCATGGTGCTGTGAACACACGTAACCACCTGTCATTGTTTTCTGTGTAGGGTGTTTGTTCTCCTTTCGGCCCTCAGACCTCAGTGGTGTAGCAGAAAAATTCCAGACCCCGCCAATAGCACATGGGCCAAGAATTATCCCATCGTGGAGGTAAGATGCAGGAGCCTGAGTGGTCTGTTGTTAGGGTTCTAGAGATAACCCCACCCAAGTGTTCCATTGTGGTTACAGGAAACTAGGTGCTGGGTTCTGGGGGCAAGCTGGAGTCACTCCTATTGCATTGCTACTGAGTCATCAGCCTTCCTTTTCTTCCTGGACTTCAGAGCAATCCACACAGAGGGCTCTCTGAAGCTTACCACCAAAAGATCTAGTTTTTCAAACCTCTGTATGCCTTCCATTGCCCTCCTCACCTCCATGTACTTCCACAGAAATATGAGAGCAAGCATTTCGCCATTTGCTCAGCACTAGCCTGAGCGTTGACTCATCCACATTCAGGATAATTGAGGCTTTTGACTTTCCCAATCCTGTCTGAGCAAAGAACAGTTAAATAAAACCCATAGTATTTTGGTCTTGGCAGGGAGCCAGTGAGTCATTTTATTGGGCAAAGGAAAGGGTTTTAAAGGAGAGGCTGCTTTGCCGGCAGATAAGAGCTGAGAGGAAGGGTTGGGAAGGAAAAAAGCAGCTGAGACTGCCTGGTAAGAGAAGAGCAGCTCAGTGGGCAAGAGGAACCACTGCTGGCAAAGGCTCTGCAAGCAGAGGGCAACTGAACATGGAGCAAGTAGGGGAGTGGCAGGGCTGGGGTGCAGCACACCAACACTGGCTCCATTGCCTGGGCCCTTGGTGACCTCAGACTTCCTGTCTCCCTCCTCAGAGCCCTTCTACAAGACTCTTCTCTTCAGCTGTTGAATGAGTTTTGCTAGCCATGCATGCTGCCCCAGGCCAGAAGTTAGTGGTCCCAGAGAAACCTCTGCTCAGGGCAAGAGCTGCCTGCTGTCACTATAGTTTAGTGTCTTTGGAATTGAGCCTGGAGGCCAACCTTGCCTCTACCACTTACTACGTGTATGACTCCTGGGCAACTTGCCCAACTATCTGAGCGCTTATTTCATCCTCCATGAAATAGCAGTCAGCAGTCCTCCCTCATATCCTGGTGTGGCGATTCCATAAGATGGCATGGAAAGCATGTGGATCACATCCAGCAAAGATCATTTGTTTACTTCTCCAAAAGGCCTATGCCTGCAGTCCCCACTCTCCATTAAGGAATTTTGCCCCTGTTAAGTTGCAACAGCCCGAAGAGTGATAAGAATGGTATAGATATAATACGACATATAATTACATGTAATACAGTATATAACAATATAATAAATCTGATATATACTCAGTATGATAAAGTGATTACATAGGAATATTTACTCATTGTTCACACGCTAGAGCCTCACTTAGTGCAAGGTCATGACTTACAGGAACATACACAATAAGCCATGGGGCCTTATAAGGATGTACCTGCTCATGCTAGAAGGGATCCAAGGACCAGGAGTTGAAGCGGCTGAGATTTAAAGTCTCTTTCCATGCTGAGATTCCATAGTCCTAAAAGCCTGAAATAGCACACGGGAAGCAGCTCTGGGTCAGCTGCGGACACCTGGCTTCTAAGCTGGTAGGCTCAGTGTCACGGGCTCTGCCTGCCTCTGCCTGGAGGATACAGAGCCACTGGAGGAGTCGGGAAAAATCTAGAAGAAATGCTGAGAAAGATCACAAAGGTTAGGCAAAGTAAGAGAGGGAGTGAAAATCGGGCTTTATGTAAAGTGCACTTAGGGGCGGCAGGTGAAACATTCCAGGTAGATTATACAGGATATTGGGCAACAGCTGCAAAAAGGAGATCACTGTGTGTCTAAAGATCCCCAAGATCCTTGGAGGTGAAAACAGTGCAATTTCTAGCAATTGTCTGTAGTGGGATTTCATGTGTATAAGCAGCAGGCAGACTGTGGTACACTTTCAGCATGTATGCAGGACATTTAGCGATGCCTACACATGGAATCCCTCAGTGGTAGTTGTCTCTGGGGCAAGGGTTGCGAGTGCGAGGGCCTCTTACTCTCATTGTATATTATTCCCTTTGAGCTTCAAACAAAACTTTATAAAACTATGTGCACATATTTTATAATAATAATAATAATAATAATAACCAAGTATTTAAAAAATATTTCAGTGTCAGTAGCTTGGCCTGCAAGGCTATCAGGCAGCCTCAGAACCCCATGTGGCTTGATCCTGGAAGAGGGGAGACTGAGTCTAAAGATCAAAATGCTCTCTTGGCACCTGGCTGGGGTAGCAACAGAGGCCCAGTCATGTGTCCTTCACCTCCAGCAAAACGTGCTCCGACATTGCAAGCCTTTCCTCAGATATGGCTGAGAAACCACGTGCCTTCACGCTTGGCAGGAAAAGCCCACCAAACGGACCAGGTCACTGGGCTGTAATCCAACTATAGATAGCTTAAAATGGCATTACCAGGTGCCCGAGCCACGGGGGATTTGAGAGATCTTTCCAAAAGGACCTAACCAGAGAACTCATGCTGGGAAAGTCTCGAAGAACAGCCTTCATCCGTAGTTGGGAGACTTTCATGGAGACAGGGCAAACACCCGGCAGACAGTGAGCTGTCTCCACACCGTGTAATCCCAGCTGTGATAGCAGCTCTTGGGCCATTCTGCTTGCCATAGCCACATCAACATGCCAGGACCAATTCAGGCAGCGACTGGAAAAGAGCAGATGCCCCACAAGGGAAACACATATGCACACCCTCTAGCTTTTGAAAATCCTTCACGGAAGTCCAGCCCAAGTCAGTGCAGTCACTCACTCTCTTGACACTGGTCATGCCCAAGGCAGACAGACCCAGAGATGCTGGCAAAGTTTTCCCAGGCTGCAGTTCCAGTACTGGGACCAGCCCTAGGGTTTGCCCTGTTCCAAGGCTAATTTTTGTCAACCTGCTTCTCTCTTAAGGCATGGTCTCCAAGTGCTGATAGCTTGCAGGCCATGTTTTTTAAAAAGTAGCAACACAGGGCCCAGCGTGGTAGCCTAGCGACTGGGATCCTATTTTGGTACCAATTCTGATCTAAGAGGCCCCACTTTCCATCCAGTTCCCTGCTTGTGGCCTGGGAGGGCAGTCAAGGGCAGCCCAAGGCCTTGGGACCCTGTACCCATGTGAGAGACCCAGAGGAGGCTCCTGGCTCCTGGCTTCAGATCAGCCCGGCTCCAAACCTTGTAGTCACTTGGGGAGTGAATCAACGGACAGAGGATCTTCCTCTCTGTCTCTCCTCCTCTCTGTATGTCTGGCTTTCCAATAAAAAAATAAAATGAATCTTTAAAAAATAGTAATAATAAATAAAAAGTAGCAATGCAAAGCACCAATCAGTAGTCTCTCAATTGTCTAGGGAAGAGCAGAGGCTTTAATGGAAGGGGACGAGAGCAAGCAGGGGGAGCTGGCGTGAGGCAACACCAGCTGGAGCCTGGCAGTGGAAGCCGACATGCAGAGGTAGCATTGTGCAAGGCGTGTGTTTCCTGGAACAGGACGATGAGGCTGAAACAGCAGGCTCTGGGTGGAAAGCCTAACGATGGAGGAACGTGCAGGAGTGACTGGCGAGGCTAAGGGCTGGTGTCAGCACAGGAGGCCAAGGCACTGCAGTCATGCTTTAGAACGACCAGCTGTCAGCAGGTACACCTGAGAAAAGGGATGTGTCTCAAGGGCACACAGCTGGGACCTGGGGAGTGCTGGTGAGTTGGGAATGGAAATGAATGTGACTTTGAAGAGCTGGAAACTGACAGGATATGAAGAAAATGAGAAAGTTAGTTAATTAACTTTCAGAATGATAAGCTAATTTTGTCTGTTAGAAACAAAAGAAATGAGAGGAGAAAAAGGATGAAAATTTCTTACAAAAATGTTCCAGGGCTGTTTCTTTTTCTTTAGGATTTATTTATTTTTACTTGAAAGAGTTACAGATAGAAAACAAACAGATCTCCCATCTGATGGTTTACTTCCCCAAGTGGCCACAGTAGCTGGAGCTGGGCTGATCCAAAACCAGGAGCTGGGACAGGTCTCCCACAAGGGTGCCAAGATCCCAGGCACTTGAACCATTCTCTACTGCTTTCCCAGACCGTTAGCAGTAAAATGAACCAGAAAGGGAGCAGCTGGGCCCAGTACAATGACTCACTAGCTAATCCTCCCGTTGCAAAGTGCCAGGATACCATATAGGTGCTGGTTTGTGTCCCAGCTACTCCACTTCCCATCCAGCTCCTTATTTATGGTCTGGGAATGCAGTGTAGCATGCCCCAATGCCTTGGAACCCTGCACCCAGGAGAAGCTGTGGTTGCATCCCTTGAAAGGATCTTCATGACTTGATTACCTTCTGGTTCCAAAGCTTCAGCTTGCCAGTCATAAGAAATCACCAGCAGGTTCCAGAATGTTCCATCTTTCCTTACCCATGACTTCCCTATCTGGACATTACTGCACATCTCTCAGGACTGCCCTAGTATCAGCTCAGCAGAGGTGCCATCGAAGGCCCTTGGAATCCTTTGATCTGGCCCTGCCACAGCGGCTCCCAGTAGGACTGGAAATGCAGTGAACTTATAACCAGCTGATTGTTTTAGGTTGATACTTTTGTATGGCTCCTTTCCCTCAGGAGCAGACACAGCTGCTTTCCGAGAGGCTACGGAGCCCCTGGGCCTCTCCTGATGAGCCCGAGCCCCTGGTCATCAATGAAGTCATCCACGTCGTGACTGCACTCCACAGACCTCCCCTTGGACTCACAGAGAGAGTCCAAGGTCACTGTATCTTGGAGGGAGACACGGTGCTCAGCGCCTCTGACCCACTGCCCCCAAGAGCTCTTGCAGTTGAGGCAAGACCAGCAGTGGATCTGTACAAGATGCTGGGGACCAGGGCTCCTGACTCAAAGCCAGGGAGCCCTGCTGGTCCCATGACGGGCCTGCCAGTGGACTACATACCCACGCACGAGGGCTACTTACCCTCCAACACAGATGGCCACCCTCCCAGTGGAGCTCCTCTCCCAGAGCCCGGGGAAGACCTGCAGCTTCAGCACATCTCTTTTTCCGTTTTTTACAGTTCCATTCAACAGCTCCCCTTCTCTTGTGGGGAGAAGCTGACTCTGGATCAGCTGAAGATGGGCTGCGACCCCCTTGGGCTCTGAGTGCTGAGGCTGGGGGCTTGGCCAGTGGCCATGGGCCCGTCTCTGCTGCTGTTGCTTTGGGCTCTGGCTGCAGTGAGAGGGCAGGTGAGCCAGCTCGGGGTGGATCTCGGAGAGCTGGCCTTCCCCAAGATGACGTCCTCCATTGTGGATTGGAGACTCCCAGCTGCATTCCTGGGCAACTTGGCCACAGTGGCCAGCAAGTAAAGGAGGGGACAAGAGTGGCAATCCACACTCCCTGCAGTAACAGCAAACAATGCAGACGCCTGCTGATTCCACGATGTATCTACCAAGTGCCTCGTATGTCCTGCATGCTCACTGCACAGGACTGTCTAGAACTTGTGGAGATGACAGAAACATCCAGCATCTGCAGGATGTCCAATGTGACTGAGAAGCTGCATTTTGATGGAGATTAAACAGCCACGCTTGGCTACTGGTGACTGGATTGAAGAGCACAGCTCCAGGTGACAGATACACTAATGCCAACTTTGGTTGACAAAGTTTACCTCAGTGCATCGCACATCCAGATACTTGGTGCAAAGTTTGGCCACAAGAATCGTCCAACTTGTTCTGCTTTCCATCTTCTGACCAGGCACTCGACATCCCCTGCTGGCCTAGATGAGCTGGCTGACATGTCCTCCTTGTATATTTGGATATGTTGTCCACTGCACGGGCATCAGCAACTGAAGACCCAGTTCTGATACATGCACTCCAAAGTCAGATCACACATCCTGTGATTCTCCCTGTGGCTGGTGGTTCAGAGTTCCCCAAGAAACCTCACCTGGGGTCACCTCAGACGTGACTCTTGTGAACCCGTCACTGCAATCAGGTCTGATATGTCACCTGCACCAGCAAATGCACATCCAGTGGATGCAGCTACCTGGTCAGTTCCGCCCCAGCCACACACCTCGTGCTAACCTATGGGCGCTGCAGCCCAGCCCAGCCAGTCTACCACAGACCTGGGCCTCATGCATACCAGCGGGTACCATAGCATAGTGGGATGACCCCTCAAAACCTCTACTAGGCTCATCTCCAACCCCAGTTTACGTGTGTGTCAGCTTATGCTGTGGCCTAACCTAGCCCAGCCTACATCCCATCTGGCTCTCATACATAGCCATAGATGTTGTGGCTTAGCTCAACCCTCCCTGCCCCCAGACCTGGCCCTCACATATGCCAATAGATTCTACTGTTTTATCCAGGCTGGCCCACCTCCAGCCCTGGTTCTAATACTCACCAGTGGCAGGTACAGCCTAGCAGGGAAGTGCCAACAGTTCCCCTGCCAGGCATGCTCCCAGCCCTGGATCTTGCATCTGCTAGGGGTCCTGTGGTTCAGCCTAACATGACTTGTACCAAGTCTCAGTCCTGGCACTTTGCAGTTGGTTTTGTGTCCCAGCTTGGCTGGCCTGCACAAAAAAAAAAAAAAAAAAAAAAAAGGAAGGGGCTTCAACAGTGGCATGGGCTGGAACTAGGTTCCTCATAGGGGTGTCTTGCTTGGGGGTGAATGTCTTTCCGGCCAGATGAAGGAGTCACTGTAAAAAAAAATAATAATAATAATAGTCTTCAAAATAATGTCAGCACAGTCTTATGAATGAGGCCAAGATGGTCACAATTGACTTTCTTTGTGGAAGCCTCAGAAGGAACCTTTCCCCTACTTCTAGGCTTGCTAAATTGTTGTATTTTGCCTTGGCCCTCTTCCGGAGCATCAACCCCCTCGTTGCTCATAGCAAGATACGTGTCCCCATCCTGTGTAAACAGCTGTTCTTAGCCGTTGCTTTCCAGATTTCCTGCTGAAGTGACAAACATTGGCTCTGCTCATTTATGCCACACTGCTACTCCTGTTGCCTGCCAGTGCCTCACGTGCTTGTCTCAGGCACTCCGAGACGAGCTCCCGCACCTTCCTGGGCATCTCCAGTCTGTCGAGCAACATCCCCACACTTTGCATCCCAGCTCCAGCGTTGGCATGTCTGTGTTGTGGATCACCACAAGGCCTCCTGCTTCAAAGCAGCTCTCCCCACCTCCTGTCTTGGTAATGGAAGCTAACTCGACTGTGTTCTTGCAATCCGTGTTTTCCCTGGCTTGCTCACCTCCTTCCCTGCTGCCCTCTTATGTCCAGACATGCACCCTGTCCTTTTATTTAGAATCCTGGCTGATAAAGCTGTCCTCATCTGTATTTTTAGCAGGTCGCTTCCTTGATGCCAAATGTCAGAATGCTCCCTAGCATGATTCCCGTGTCACTTCCTCTCCTGTACTGAGAGCAGCTTGCAAGCAGGGTACCTTCCAATACTGTTCCTGGTCCACGCATAGCTGGCTACTAGTAAAAAGCAGTCACCTGCCATTCCCTCTGGTCTCTTCCTGTTCCAGACAGAAGCCTCACTACGCTGCACTCTTGCTTGGGGGAATGAGGATGGAGGGGGAAGTGGGTGCAAGGGGATAGGGAGGCAGCTGTGTTTGTGTTAGTCTTTCACTTTCAATTCCCATTCGACCCCACTTTTCTTTTTCTTTTTTTAAACAGCTTCTGACTTTACAATATTTGAATAAGTCCATTTCTTTGAAAAAAAAAATATTTTTTCGGATGCACAGAGAGGAGGAGAGACAGAGAGGAAGACCTTCCATCTGCTGATTCACTCCCCAAGTAGCTGCAATGGCCAGAGATGCACCAATCCAAAGCCAGGAGCCAGGAACCAGGAGCCTCTTCCAGGTCTCTCACACAGGTGCAGGGTCCCCAGGCCACAAGCAGGGAGCCGGATGGGAAGCGGGGTCACCGGGATTAGGACCGGCACCCATATAGGATCCTAGTACATGCAAGGCAAGGACTTTAGCTGCTAGGCTACTGCACCAGGCCCCAACCCCATTTTTCATTGACTTTACCACAGCAATGCATGCAGGAGTGTTTCTTAAGGATGCATTTGAGGGAGCTCTCTCGGTCCTAGAAGCCAAAGATTCGATTTCCTGAGCTTTTGTCTACCTTATAAGCAACAGGAAAGTCAACCTGTTATAACTTAGCTTTCTTCCCTTTACTGCCATCTTCCCTCAAACTCCTCCCAATTTTTGAGCTTCCATTAATTGCAACTCCACCAACACCCAAGGCCCAAGAACTGTGAGCTTTCTTCCACTAGATCTGAACTGTTTTGTCACCTATCCCACTGCTCCAGACTCCGAAGGGGGCTCGTCCCCCTTTCCCCAGCCCACAGGACTCAGTTCTGTCGCCCACCAGGATGGAAGGGTGATAGGTCAATCATGAGAAGCACTTGAAGCAACAGATTAAAATTGAAACCTTGTCAAACTCACAATTAGTTTTTTTTTTTTAAAAAAAAGTTCATACCTCACTGGTTTGCATGGGGACCTAGTGTGAAGTGGGCAGGATCGAGCTGGACTACAACACCCATTGGTTCACGTGGAAGACAGGGCTGGAAACAGAACTGACCCAGCAATTGCAACGACCAGCATGTGCATAAGCTGATTGGGGCGATGGACAGTGCCAGTCCCTGTACCGGCAAACTCACACAAGAATCAGGTTTGGGATCATCTCAGATGAAGTTTCTTTGGAGATCCCGCCAACTGAACTGCTGATCTCAGAACCCCAACCATGAAGAGATCATGTCAGCCAGTGGATTCTGAATAGGTTTCATCGCGATTGGAACGGCGAGATTGGCAGCAATTCAGACCTGTTGAACTATCAAAACTGCTTGAGCAGGACCCTCAGATAGTGCCTCTCATCAGGGACCTGGGATGGGTGGGAGGCTAGGTGGAGCTTTTCCGTTTCTCCCTTAACGCCAGATACAGGGGAAAAATGATATTAGTGTGGAAACAATGGCATTACCCACTTTCCTATAGCCCTTGACCCTTTGTACCCCAATCAACTAAAATTATTAAAAACTAAATAAATTTTTTAAAAAAGAAGTTCATTCCTTAGGCATACTAAAAAAAAAAAAAAAAAATTCATACCTGAGTACTTGAAATGGCCAGGATGCTGGGCCTTCTGTGCATACGCCTTGTAGCTGGCTCCCAGGTCACAGAATCTTTGAAGAAATTATGACCAAGAAACACTTGCTGGACCTCAAGACAGAGTGAGCTGTGGCCTAGGCCACTATGGTAATGAGACTCCACTGCTTACCTCTGTCTTTACAGTGTGGGAATGGTATGATGTACTTCCTTAATCAAACCATCAACTATTAGCAGGCATTCTTTAATTTTCAATCTATATTGTTTAAACCTGTTTAATGCACATACTCACCATGTAAGAAAAGTATAAAATCCGGGCCTGCCGTAGCAGGCTAGTGACTGATCCTCACCATGCATGTGCCAGGATCGTATTCTGGTTGTTCCATTTCCCTTCCAGTTTCCTGTTTGTGGCCTGGGAAAGCAGCATAAGTCTGCCCAAAGTCTTGGCACCCTGCACCTTTGTGGGAGACCCAGAAGAAGCGACTGGCTCCAGATTGGCTCAGCTCTAGCCATTGTGGCTACTTGGGGAATGAACCAGTGCGTACAAGATCTTCGTCTCTGTCTCTCCTTCTCTTTCTAAATCTGACTTTCCAATAAAAATAAACAAATCTTTTTTTTTTTTTTTAATATAACGCCTATAACCAGGGGCCGGCATGGTGGTATAGCAAAGAAATCCTCCACTTGCTGTACTAGCATCCCATATGTACACTGACTGACATCTCGGTTGCTCCATTTCCAATCCAGCTTCTTGCTTACAGCTTGGCAAAGCAACTGAGGATGGCCCGAGCCCTGGGGTCTTGCACCCATGTGGAAGACCCGGAATAAGCTCCTGGTTCCTGGCTTCAAATTGGCTCAACTCTGGTTGTTGCAGCCATTTGGGGAGTAAACCACAGACAGAAGATGTTCTCTGTCTCTCCTTCTCTTTCTGTAAAATCTGCCTTTCAAATAAAAATAATTTTTTTTTTTTAAGTTATCATTATAGCTTGCAGAATGGCCAACACAATGGACTAGGTCTTTCAGGGTTTAAATTGTTTGGCTTGCTGAATACTTTTCTAATTTCTCAACCACACTAAGATTACTTCAGTAGATATGCAAAATAGCATCCTTAGTAAGGTGCTCACACAGATCAACCTGAAAAAACACTAGGACTTCCAAGAAAAACAGAATTTGAATGGGCAACTCAGAAAAATCAATGTTTGATGAGCACTAGAACAGATAAACATTTTTCACTCTTTAGACTATCAAATATTGCAGAAAAATATTACACAGCATTAAGCATGGAAACTGGTCTTCCCAAGGGGGAAATGTTAATTTGCCCTTTTCCACTCCCTGTAACGCAGGCCAAGCAGCAGTATCTTAAATTGAATGTAGCACTTTTTAAAATGGTGGGAGGTGAATGCCTTAAATATCCTTCTGTAAAAACTTGACAAAATCATGATGTATCTGCACAAGGAAACACTGAATTTTAACGACTATGACCCCACCATTTTGAGATACCCCCTATTCTACATCCTGGGGATGCTGGCGAAGGGAATGTGACCCTGTAACATGCCATCAATTTTTGTGCTACACATTTTTCACATTTCAGTGTGCCTAAAACTTAGATACCTTAGAACTCATTTTAAAGTTGATACATAATCTTTACAAAAAT